TCTCTCTCTCTCTCTCTCTCTCTCTCTCTCTCTCTCTCTCTCTCTCTCTCTCTCCCCTCCTCCTCTCTCATACACACACGGCACACGGCCAACTCCCTAACCTTTCCCTCTTGATAAATACGAAAACAATACTTGTCCCTCCCCCTTCTTCCTTTCTCCTTTTCCTCTTCTCATACCCCCTTCTCTCTCCCTCCCCCCCTCTCTCTCTCTCTCTCTCCTGCGCTGCTCTCTGGCATAATTAGCTCAGGACCCCGCCGCGACGCCTCCCCCTCCCCCCTCCGGGAAGTGTTGAGTCAGGTGGAGGTTCCAAGGCCACGACACTCCGTCCCTGCCCTGGCTGGGTGGGTCGGTCAGCGTACCGCTCTAGTCCCCCCCCTCCCCGCCACGACCTCGCCCTCTCTGTGCTCGCCGCTACATCCGATTCCTGATCTCGGCGTCCCAATCTGGTCCATTAACCTCTCATTTGGGCCCCGGACCCGCGCCTCCGTCTACACGAGAATAAAAGATACGCGTGTGACGGAGAATAATTGAGCCACATCGGACTTAAAAAGCCAGTTACACACTTGGAAAGTGATCTGGAGTTGCAATTACCATTGCCATAGGATGGCGTCAAGGGCTCTTTCGAAAAAAGAAAATAAAGTACTGAAAAGCCTCCATCGTTTAAATCTCTGGCAATGGGTTACACTGGTTCTTTTCCGGTGTAAAGTAAACACTGCACACTTTAGTCGACAAGTCGACTTTAGTTCAAAAGTACTTCGCTATACGACTCATAGCGTCACTTTATATCCATTCGGTTTGTTTCATAACCTAACCACAAGCGCAGCTTCTCGATCCTAAATTATTGTTCAAACAAAAACTAAATAGAAACAAAGTAAAAGAGAACACCAGAGGAAAATGATTAGATTAATTAACCTGCCGAACGCTTTATAGAGTGCGCCGCCTGGAGCCTCCCGGCTGGAGGGCCCCGCCGCCAGCGTCGGTCAGCCGGGAGATAGAGGGTCACGTATCCTTCGAGGAGGACCGCTCTGTTGTTCGGATAAACAAACAGGAATCACCCGGGGCGTGAAATGGAGCCATCCCCTCCAGGGGCAGAGCTCCTCTCGGCCTCAATGTGGTGGGCATAACGGTGGGCCGCGTGCGCGCAGACATATATCGAAACATAAATCATTTGCCGTGGGAAATTTCACCGGTATGGTCTGGAAACGGTTAGCAGCAGTAGCAAACCGCCGCCGG